GAACCTAATAGTATATCTTTAAGTATGCCACTGATCGCAAGCAAAAGTAAAGTTTTTTTTTTTTAGAGGAGACCCCCTTGCACATGCTGAAAAAAGTCAGCCTGAGTAACAAGTCCATGATTGCACAACTCATCTAATTTATCAGGGGAAGATGCAAAGGTTTCAGCAATGCGAGTCAAAAACATGAGTGTTTCTTTTGTAGAGAATCAATCCGTGAAGCCACATTAACTTAGAAATCTCTCCAGTAGCCACACTAGCAAGCAAATTCATTCCAGCATCATTCCTAACTGGTACGCATGCGTTTGCTTCAGAGTACTTGACACAACTTTCAATTAAAGCATTAATGGAGCTGAAAGAAGCCTCCAGCAGTTTCCCTGATTTAAGTTCATTTCCAAAGATGGGGAAGCCATTTTTGTAACTTCAGTTGTTTTCCTGGCATCTTCTCCAGTTTTACAATTTTTATTTTATTTTATATGGAACAGCTGTGTGTGAACCATCTCCCTCATCAGACCCAATCAGCATATCTTTCAAGTTATTGTTCTGCCAAGATTCAGTATTCACATCAGCGATAATATTTGTCCAGCAAGTATCACTTTTCTCCTTCATGTTACAATCTAATTGTTCAGACTTCTCTGAAAGCATAGGAGAAGAAGCTCTGCTCAGACAGAATGATCTTCAAGAGATCATCCACTGGCACTTTGTGCCGGACTTCTACCTTGATTTGGGATGTTAACAATGAACTTATGACTATTACCCTCAGCCATAAGAGCATCCATGGCCTTTTCACATGTTAAACCAGACTGATATTTTATGCAAAAGCAGACTTGCTTGCAGTCTCTCCTTGAGCAAGCTTAACCGAACCAGTTTTAGAAACAGAAAGTTAAGGTACTGAACTCTTCATGGCAACCTCAGATGACCCAGAGTACTTGCTTTCACTGTGAGAAACTTCAGTAAAACAAGGTCTTGCAGACCAGGTAACAGCCTGATTTGAACCAGACTTAGCATCCATCTCAGCATCAACTCATTTTTTTTTTATATATATCAACTAAACTCGCTTTCTTCTGTATTTTTATATTCTTGTGACTACGCAAATGATTCACAGACTTACCAATGTTACACATCTGTAGAGCTGTAAGATTTATAGGTAGCTTATCAAGTGCTCTTAGTAAGGTTAAAAGAAAATCGTCAACTGATCTGTCATCCTTGGCCTCATAGGTTGTTCTGTTTCCATTACCGTGGCTAATGCCTTACAAGGAGACGCTCCACCATATGGTTCATGACCTTCACTACCTTCTAAACTCTCCACGTGCTCACATTTCTTTTGGGCAGTGACAGTTTCCCACTTAGGTTTTTGTTTCTCATTATGACTGGCATGACTACGTGCATCAGTCTCAACATCCTTTTCATCTTTCACTGCATCAACATTTTCCAAAACCATATCTTTAGCAGAAGCATGCTTCAGCACCTTTGACTCATTTAGCCTTTTCTAATATTAATCTCCAAATCATGCCAATTTCTTTTCTTTATATCTTCCTTAGGCAAAATTAAATTTTCTTATATAATTGCCTTTAAATTGTTAGAGAAAAATACATAAGAGAAAAAAAATAATAGAAAAGAATTTTGGCTTTGAGACATAAAGAACATTTTCTTAAAGACAATTATACCTTTAGGATACAACAAAGCCTCAAACTCTCTAATCAAAAATAGTAAAAATGATCATACTAAAAGATTTATTTATAATGAATGAACAAACATAAACTTATATTCAGATGGTTATGACCTTCTGTATAATCATTACCTTTATGAATAATAATTCATTTATATTCAAATAGTTGTGACCATTTATCATATGATATTTATTTCTGTTCAAACATAATTATTTAAAATATGAATAAAATTAATACAAAAATTAATTTTATTCATCAATAATTAAAATTTTCTATTCAATGTGAAATGTATCATATTCTAAACTATCAACGTTATTCCTTTCATCTATGTCTGGTTATCTGCATATGTTTAGAGTTTCCAGAAACTGAACCCTTTATTTTCTACGATAAACAATCCTTATGAATTTGATTAATATGTAAATGTTACATATTATAATGATTTATCATTCAAAAACAAAAGAATAAATAAATAAATAACAAAAATAGTCAAGAATGATTCGGTTCTTTTTATTTGTTCAATATGAAATCATGGATTTGTATGCAAAATTATTATTGACCAATATTTTCCAGGCCTGAAAATTTTGCAACAATCATGTTCCATTTGGACGGCCTCTCGGACGTCAAAATGAATAGTTTCAATGTGATTCGATGAAAATCTTTATTATTATTCATTCAAATGAAGCATTATTTTATGATGGTTTAATTGGTACAGGTCAACTATTTTCTACATGTGGTCTTGTAAAATTATAATAGGGCATTCAGTTACCCCTAAAGGTTTCCAAATTTCAAGTTTCAACCTATCAATTACCAGATAAAGAAGCAAATTAATCAGTGAATCTTCTATTTCTATAGTTTCTGGTTTCAGAAAAGCTCGTCAAAAAATGATTAATATAACAGGGCTTTAAAGTTTAAACTTCACCCCCCCCCCCAAAAAAAAAAAAAAAAACTTGGTCAAAAGTTTTAAGTGAGAGTTCTTAAATATTCAATTTTAATAAAATGCTACTTGCTTTTTCTGCTGTGTAGAGTTTAGGGTTGTGTGTAATTTGAACTTTTATTCTAAAATCTTGTTATTGTTCATAATTTTTGGATAAAAATAATGATCGGTGAAAATTTATCCATTAATTTGTAAATAATATATATAATTCTTATAACTTTTATAACAAATTCAAATACAAATTTATTCTTTTAATTTTATTTTTCAAAACAATTAAAAATAATAAAAATGATTTAAAATATGCTAAAAAAAATAGAAAAGAAAATGCATAAGCAAAAGGATAAAAATGAAAATAGCCAAATAGGGATAGCACATAAAGACCTCCACTTAAAGACGGCAAAGGCTCGAGTAAAGACTAGTTTATATTCGTTTTAACTTTGATCATATTATTATTTTTTATACTCGATGCCAACTTGATATATATATATATATATATATAATCTGTATTAGGTTTACCTTGACCAAGAATCAATTCAATAATATAACATTAATAATTATAATTTTTAATATAAATTATATTTTAATTCTTAACATAAATTATTAATATAACAAATAAAAATCAAATTAAATAATATATATTCTTATATATATACCTTGAGACGAGGTAGAATAAAGTATCTTAAACTTGATTTCGACTCGACTTTGATCTTCAAAAAGAAAAAATCATCCTACTTCGATCCAATTTGGATTTTAAAAATTGTCCCTATTATATTGATAGATTGAAACCAATCAAATATGTGTTATTTTGACATCTTAACTTCCGATGACTTCATTGTTTACAAAATTTATTTTATTAAAAAAAGAAAAAATAATAAAATAAAACAAAGGAAAGGAAAGGGCTGAAAAAAAAAGAAAAAAAAAAACTAAATGGGATGCCACATGAACACTTCTACTGCCAATTTAGTTCTCCAAACATAGATAAAAAATATAGATAATTAAAAACAAAAAAAACCAAAACTTCAAAAAACAACCCCAAAAAAAAAAAACCAAATTAATAGGGGTGCCTAATGAATACATCCATTTAAGGATGACAACTTGTCATGACATGTTTTTATTCACCCTGACTTTGATTTATCTTTTTAATAATTCAATCCAACTAAAAGGATTTATAAAAAAATTTGTACCTTCAACCCAATTTAAATAAAACTTGAATACACATCTATGAGTCAAATACATTAACACACATAATTTTATTTCATTTCAATAAATTATAACATAGAATACCACATCCAAACCCGAATACATGGATTAAGTAAAGAGCATACAAATAAAATTATTATATTACCAAACACACCAAAATGAGCTACCATTTCAAATAATTACATACCAATAGTAGCCCAAAACACGTATAGCTTGTCACCAATTTGCTCCAATTTTTTATAATAAGCAAACCTCCAAGACCTGATGAAAAACAAGGGAGCCACTACTCCTCAAAACCCCATCACAAATCCAAGCACTATGCTTACATAAAGCCAATTCAACTTAGACCTTTTCTTTCCTTCACTGCTACCTCCATTTGTGACATCAGGTGTTTCACCATTTCTGCTACAAGTTTTAGTGACAGGAGGTCCGCAAAGATGATTGCCAACGTAAGAAAACTTGTCAAAGCTTTGAAGCTGGGTGCTTAATGGGATTTGTCCTGTCAAGTTGTTGTAGGACAAGTTGAAGTGATTTAAGAAATTCAAATTGGAGAAACTTGAAGGGATTTCACCATGGAATCGGTTCATGGACAAGTCAAGAGATTCCAAAACCTCCATACTGCCAATGTTCTCTGGTATTTTTCCTGTTAGAAAATTCCCCGACAAATTTAATGACCGCAGCCCCATAAGACTACCAAGTTCTTTGGGGATCTCTCCTGTGAGACTGTTAACTGAAAGGTCTATGATGGTAACAAGTCCTAGTGTGTTACTGTATGCATCTTCTCTTCCTTTCATCACCAATAATGCAGCCAAAGGAATCAAGTTAATACGGTCGAGTTCCCAGGCGAAGTTACCCACATATTGGTAGAGGGTTTTTTGTGGCCATGGCACTTAGGTTACTAAAACATTTTTGGAATAACTCCTGAAATGTTGTTATAACCAAGATCCAAAACTTGAAGAGAATTAATAGCACAAATTTGATCAGGAATATAGGCTTGAAAGTTATTTGAACGAAGGTTTAGAACCACAAGGTTAAAAGCTTGTCTCCAATCCATGCTGAAATACTTCCCGTCAATTGATTTTCACTAAGATCAAGAATAATCACCTCAACCAAATGCTGCAATGTGGATGGTACTTTCTCCAAACAGGTTATCGTTTCGAAAGGTTTAATGACCTAATGCTACGCATAGATCCCAAGATCTAGGAATTTTCCCAGTTAGATTGGTTGTTTCCTAAATTTAAGACTTGCAACATTTGCCAATTTTCCCAACAATTTGGAATTTCACCTGACAGAAGATTTGATTCAATGTCAAGAATGGTCAAAGCTTCCAGTTTAGTTGAGGAATTACAAAGAAAATTGGAAAGTGATCCTGAAAATAGGTTCCTAGACAAAAAAAAAAAACCTCAAATATGAGATTGGCAGTGGCAATGGACCTATGAATAGGTTGGAACTCAAGTCAACCGTCCTCTTCATCGGTAAATATGAAATCTCTCCAATTAGTTGGTTATGGGAAAGGTTTAGATATTCCAACTGAGTCGAAATGTTCCAAAACCAAATGGGAATGACGACTGAAATTTCAGCATGGGAGATATCCAAACGAGACAAGTTTTTTTGGAATTGTAGCCACTGAGGAAATTGCGGACCAAGATGCCAGTTACGCAATTCAATACTTTCACAGTGGAAAGGAGGAATCCAACTTGGATTTGGTTTAAACGTTAACATATTGTTAGATGCCCTAAAAAATCTCAACCTCGCGAGATTAGAAAAGTGCATTTCTGATATATGTCCTTCCAACATATTGTTGCTAACGTCTAAATGTTCCAAATTCCCAAGTTGTCCTAAACTTTGAGGAAGAGTTGCATTCAATCGATTGTTTAAAACATCAAGAAATTTCAATGATGACAACTTCCCTATTGAGAATGGAATGGGACCAGAAATGAAGTTTCCAGAAAGGGAAAGGTATGCCAAATTTTTAAATTGGCCGAGTTTATCAGGTAAATGGCCAGAAAGTTTGTTAAATCCCATGTTTAATGACTCTAATCGATCCAAACTACATCTAGACAAACTTTCTATGATTTCTGATACCTCATGAACAATTCCATTATTTGACAAATCCAACTCCCTCAGATTGCAAAGACTTTCCAAATATTTTGGTACTATAATTTCAAGCAAGTTACCTGAAAGATCAAGATGAGTAAGAGAGCTCAAGTTTCCAATGGCACTTGAAAAATTACCTTGCAGACCGACGCTACGAAGACCAAGAAATTGAAGCTGGTTTAAATTAGACAGCCAGTTGAGTGTCGATGATGAAGAGAATGAATTCCAACTAAGATCAAGAAATTTGAGAGAAGACATGTTTTGAAAACCATTGGGAATCACACCTTCAACTCCATTAAGGGTAAGATCAATGGACACAAGACTACGAAGACTGAATATCCATGTAGGCACCAAAGACAACTTGTTGGCAGACAGATCGAGAACAGCAAGAGATGTGTAATTAACACTGATTGGAGATGGATCATTATATAGATAGCATCCTGACAAGTGTAACTCTGCCAATAAAGGAAGTTTATTTGTTACCTGCAGCCAATCAGTTGCTTTACCAAGATACTGCAGAGACGAAAGACCAGAAACCCATTGAAGAGTTTTATCTTCAAATAGGGAATTGTGTCCAAGATCAAGATAATGCAGTTTTGAGAGATTTCCAAGATTATGGGGAATTGCTCCTTGGAAATTTGCCCAAGAGAGGTTAAGATATATCAAACTCTTCATGGAACCAATGAATTCGGGAATTGCCAAGCCTCCAAAGTCGTTGTTGCTTAATTCTAGGAAACTGAGATGTTTCAACTCGATCAAAGAAGGATTTATTTTGCCTCCTAGTTTTGACCGAATGTAAACATCCCATTCAACATCCCATTCAGCATGCGGTGCATGCACATCAGGTCTACATGAAAGAAGCCCCAAATGCAGCTCTTTGACATGGCCAGTCAAGTTATTGCAGAAAACACCAAGCCATTCACAGCAATCCTCACCTTCAACCCAAGAAGATAACCGGTTTGATTGATCAATAAGGTCTTGCTTGAACTTCAAAAGGGCTTGTCTCTCACTTTCAATGCAAAGCACATTGCAATTCCCATCGCAAAAGCTAATAATGGTGACTGCGATGACAAGAAGAAATCCAAATGAGGAAATTGTAACCGCTCTCATGGTTGCATACCGATCATTGCTACCAACACCTAATATATAAAGTTAAAGAAAAATATCTTCCATCACATCAAGTCAAGTCAAGCAAGTCTATGGAGTTTGAATTTTCCACAAAAACCAATTTCCAGCTTGAATTTTCCACGAAAGCATTTATGGTCCGTTTAAATTCTACTATTGTAGAAAGAAGAACAAAAAAAACTAGACAAGTAAATCAACTCTACGGAGTTAGAATTTTCCACAAAACAATTTCCAACTTGACTTTTTCACGGGAAGCATTTATGGTCCATTAAATTGCATATATGGTCCATTTAAATTCTACAATTGTAGAAAGAACAAAAAAGACTTAACAAGTAAGTCAAGTCAACCAAGTCTATGGAGAATTTCCACAAAAACCAACTTGAATTTTCCACGGAAAGCATTTATGGTCCATTTAAATCCTACAATTGTAGAAAGAAGAACAAAAAAAGACTTGACAAGTAAGTCAAGTTCACGGTCAAACAATTAACTCTTTATGTCTTAGAAAACAGAAAAAATAAAAAAAATGAAAATTTAGAAAAAAAATAAAATTACAAAAATTTAGAGAAGCTAAGACTCTTTTTCCTTATTATTTTATCTATAGTTACTTTCCTTTTTTCTTTTAATCAAGTTTTAATATATGTATGGCGCCTAAAATTAAGAATTTGTCAAAAAAGAATATTAATTGAAATATAAAAGTGGTTTATATAAAAATCTATGAAAGTAAAGACGTTTAATTTTGGCAATTACAATTTTCAGTTTTATCTTTCATATTTTAACACAATTATTTTTTTAATCCATTAACCTTTAATACAATTTTAATTACCAAATATTAGTATGATTTTCACAATTCATAATTATAGGTGTTAAAAATTTAAATTTTAATTTATTGAATGTTATATTTAAAAATAATTATATAAATCAATTAAATTAAATTTTAAATTTTTAAAACAAGATTTCAATGCGTGATTTCATTGTACTTAGTATGATCATATAGTATCACCAAACCCTTTTTTTTTATATCCAACTAGCAATGGACTAACCCCTCATAGAAGCCATGGGAAAAAAATTCTTTTAAATTATATAAAGAGAGAATTTACAAATTTTAATAATGTGTTGTATTTTGATTGATTGAATCTATATTTGATGTAATAAAAAATGTAATAATTTTTTTACATAATTGAACGATATTAATTTAAGTAATTATAATTTTATTATTTCGTATTAAATGATATATGAACTCGAGTTGTATAATTTAAATGATATATATTTAAATATAAAAGTGTTAGGCTAGTTTTGTTTTGCCTTATACCACCAAGCAAATGGGGTATTAGAATTTTGACAGGCCTAAACAACCCTGCTGCTGCTAATAAACAAAATAAAGCCTTCCCCTTCTCCCTCCTTCCTACAAATATCTTCTACATCTATTTTTCCTCGCCATGCTCTCATCAACCTCTCTTAAACCCATCGCCAATTGCCAAAATCCTTTATTTTCTTCATTTTTGAACCAAAACCATCTCTTTTTTCCCTTCACCTCCCTTTCCCACCTTCTAAAACACATCTCAGCGATTCTAATCCCCAGCAAGCCCCCAAACCTCTACAGCAACAACTTTACTAACCTTTTCGGCCACCCCCATCTCCATTGCCTGCCCGATTCCGTTCGCTTGACCCATGAATAAGAGTCCTTGACTATGTTCTGTTAATTGTGATCAAGTATAATTCAAGTATCATGCGATGGAAATAAAATTGTGATCCAAGTATAATATAAATGAAATTGATCAGTTCCTCTCCTAACCAAAAATGTATAATCTGATAAAACATGACACTGAAGCAATTTTTCCTTCAGGAGTGCCTCAAATTTCTATTGTAACGTACATTAGCAGTGACTAACAAAGTGGACAGAGTCCAAATTGCCATGTAGAAACATAAAAAAAAAAAAATGCAGTACTTCATCATTCCCAGGTTCTCCATCAATTTCTTTTGGCTGAACACAGTCTTCGATCACAACTGGTTGCAAAGTCCTCCCACTGTCTGAGCCAGCTTTTTCCATCTCCTTGACAACGCTTATCCATCCACTACTTTACCAAACACAACTTGCTTTCCATCAAGCCATGGAGTCTTCTCCGTGCATATAAAGAATTGGGAACCATTGGTGTTTGGTCCTGCATTGGCCATTGACAAACAACCAGGTCCGGTATGTGTAAGCTTGAAATTCTCATCTGCAAATTTCATGCCATAGCTTGCTTCTCCTCCAGGGCCATTCCCCTTTGTGAAATCTCCACCTTGACACCTGAAGCTCGGGATGATTCGGTGAAATGCTGAGCCTTTACAGTGCAATGGCTTCCCAGACATTCCGTAACCCTTTTCCCCAGTGCAGAATGTTTGCAATTATATGGTGGGCTAACACAGTCAATTAATTAATCCGGATTTAGGTCAATTAATGTCAAATTACAAATAATTATAGTGGTATCATATTGTAATATATTCAAACATATAGTACGATATTAATTAAGTATGATCCCAGTTTAATTTTGTATTTGAATCATAATGTGATGGATCAATTTTGACTAATATATATATATATATATATATATATATGAAGCCGGTCCATTAGATTTTATAACTTTAATTTGATAGGTAAATAGTAGTTCTCTCTTTTTTTATTATGCAAGTCGTTGATTGAGCTCGATAGGCAGCATAAAAAAGCTCATGATGGTAAAAACACATCCATGGGCTTGGATTTAGGGGGATTGAGTTCTCTTCCACATTAAAAACAGTTTTAGTTATAAATTATGATAGTGATTCGGTGAGCTTTCAGCCAAATACAATTAGAGCTTCATCTGATTCAAAATTGGGTCCAAATTGCCTTGGCAACGGCACATATTGCTCAAGGAAAAGCTGGTTAATATTCTACTTTCACGAAAAAGGATGTGGTGAGATATGGACAGAAATCTTATAAATTCGAAAAAAATATTTTCTTTTATACCAAGAAAAAAAGAAACGAGAATACAAATTGGCGCAACGACCTTTATTTTCAAGTGTTCTTTTAAGCAAAAAGGAAAATAAAACTACTACTATTATATGATTAATATAGATGATCACTCTTTATGAATTCAAAATAACTAGAAATTGTTATCATATATATATGTATGTATGTATGTATGTATACATGGAAGAATGAAAATTTGTAGAAATGTTCAACTAGTATGTAATATTATTGTTGGCGAAAATTATAATAGCACTAAACTTTGATTGTACATCAAGATTTACAAATTCACAGACAATATCCAGTAAAAAATTTGGTCCTCCTCCACTATCTCAATTGAAAAGGGAGAAGAAAGGAAAAAGAGAAGAAAAAATGTTGGTGTTTGCACTCAAATATTCACCAATAAGGAGTTGCACTCTTAGATTTACTTAGAAGCTTCTCCAAATAATCAGCTCCTAAATCCTCAAACACCAAAATATTTTCCATCCCCATTTCCTTCTTTCTTGATCTTCATGTTCCATGATCTTTTGCACTTCATGGAGTACCTTTTCTCAATTGTCAAAGTAGGTTAACAACTTTCTTCAAATCCATAGTTCATTTCTTGAAATGAATCATAAACTGTAATTGTAAACACTCTAATTTGTCCGGGCCCAAGCCCGAGCCCACTGAGCTTGATTCAACAGGGACTGAGCCTAAGCCCATTGGGCTTAGCTTAGTTCTGGCCCAATTTTAGTTTTAATTTTTAATTTTAGTTTTAATTTTTTAATTTTTTTAATTATTTTATTATTTTCGTTATTTTATTTTTCTTTTTATTTGATCCGAAAAGTAAGTTTTAATTTCTGTTTCCTTCTAAAATAGTTTCTGGTAGAGTTGGACTGGGATTCAAAGATTGAATCCCAGTCAAATAGGGAATAAGTATTGATTAAAAATTGTTTTTGATCAATGCCTATAAATAGAGGCTCAAACAAGAATCAGAAAAAAATCAGAGAGGGATCAGAAGGAAAAGAAATAGAGAGGTGAAACAGAAGCTAAAAGTGTTTAGAGACAATATAGAATTTTTAGAATTTTTTTTTTGAATTTTTGGACTTTTTTCTGAAAAATTTTTGAAAATTTTCCAGAATCCAATGAAATTTTTCGACGAACTTTGAATTTTCCGATGAGTTTTCTGGCTAGATTTGAAGATTCCGGTGGCTTTTTCCAGATTCTGGTAGAAATTCAACCAGAATCTGAGATCGTTTAGAGAGAATGAAGAGAAAAGAGGGAAAGGAGAGAAAGAGGGAATGAGCCATCTGTGAAAAAAATAGAGGTTAGAGCCGTTTATACCAAGCTAAAACGACGTCATTTTTACGTTAGTAAATCTTGAGGATCCACGTGTTTTGCCAAGATCCAACCCGACCCGTAGCGCACCCAAACTAGCGACCCGCTTCTCTGCCCGGGTTCCAGCTGAGACTCCAAGCTGCGCGTTTGAGCTGTGATTTCTATCTTGAGTCGAGTCGTTTTCAAATTTTTTTTGGTATTTTCTTATTTATTTTATTTAAGTATTTTATTTATTTGTTTTTTTTGTTTTTTAATTATTAAATTAAAATAAAGTAAAATAAAGTAAAAATAAAATTTTAGGAATGAATATTAATTATCCAATTATGGAATTTATAAAAATTTCAAATGGTAAATTTTTATAAAATTCATAGGTGAAAAATTTTGTCTAAATTTAACCCAAATGGTGGAATAATTTAGATAATGTTTCAATAACAATAATTAATATTTATTTTCAATCAAAAAAATTAAAAAATATATATATAATAAAAAATATAAAATTTTAAAATTAAATATAAATTATTCAAGGATGAGATTTTTAAAAATTTCAAATGATAAATTTTATAAAAATTCTCTAGGTGAGAAATTTTCTCTAAATTTGATCCAAATTGTGGAATAATTTAGATAAAATTTCAATATAAATAATTGTATTCTTTTCCAAATAAAATTTTGATTGGAAATATGTGATAATTATCCGAGGATAAGATTCTTAAAAATTTCAAATGGTAAATTTCTAAGAAATCTCTAGGTGAGAAATTTTTTCTAAATTTGGCCCAAATGGTGGAATAGTTTAAATGAAAATTTTCAATAAAAGTAATTGTCATATTATTTTCTTTCCAAAGAAAAATAAAAAGAATTTCTAAATAGGCCCAAATGGTGAAAAATTTTAGAAATTCAAAAAGAGAGAATATTTCTAATTTGGCCCAAATGGAGGAATAATTAGATAAGTTTTTGACTAAAAAATAATAAATAAATATTTTTTCGACGACAAAGCCTCTTCAAGAAATCAAATTGGATTCTTGAATACTCTTGAGGTGAAGAAATATTCTTTTAAGAATTCTACCAAATTAATGGAAGAATCTCATAAATATTTCAACTTAAAATTTGAAACCATTAGACTCAATACTTTAGGATAAATTTGAAATAATATGATACCATCTTTCGGATCGGCATATGGGGATGCTATAACCTTCTTCATATGTAACCAAACTCCTGAACTCTGTTCTGATTAGTAGACCCGAACCTATTCTTTTAAGGGCCCTTTGTCAAGCTTAGGAGCTCCTTAAAGGGATAGATTCCTTAGGTGACCAATCACACCTAGTAAAAAAGATTGGTGGCAACTCCATTCATTTGTTAAGTCTAGCTATAGATTTTCGAATCTATATGTTATGACCATTTGATGACTCTATTGGGAACTGCTAGAACGTCAAGCCATAATTTTTTAATTTATCTTATCCTTTGAACGAATGGTTTTAAGTTATTTGTTTACTAACGTTTTTTCTCTTGTTTTTGTCTGATTTATGGGGACGATTACCATATGTTCCTTCACACACACTATCACATGCATTTGTATTACAAAAGCTCTATACCCGGGCTCTGTCCCTCTTAGGAGGGAATAATGTACCTACGCTCTAGTGAGATGATAATCTCCGTAATGGCTAGTGAAATACTTTAACTTAAATTGAATCCTTTCCATTGGTAGCCTGTGATGGGTGAGGATTGGACTGCCTTACTAGTCTGCGATGGATAATGATGTAAGAAATAATTTGAGAACCTTTAGTGGTTAAAACCACCTAACCCTGTATATAGTTTACCCCTAAAAAGTCAACCTTAAGATAGAGCCCTTTCTACCTATCAATAGATATAACCCAAAATTAGGACACAAGAAGGAACTGTTCATTATCTAACCATTTTTTGTTATTTTTATGCATTACAACATGCATCTTTATGTTTTAAGCATTATCATGTTACATCATTCTATGCATCATTTCCATTCTCATGTTTTAAGCATTATTATATCATATCATTTTATGCATTATTTTCATAATCATGTCTAATGCCATCATTTGCATATAGAAAATATTTATCACATATCAGTTATTGATAAATCAGATCTCTCATTTACATCCATGAAAAGTCAAATGCAACCAAAGTCTATATCAGTTCATCATGAGTTTGCCCAACAACTGAAAATTAAGTCAGAGGAAGGTCAAAGAAAATAAGAAAATTACTTGCCTGAGGGTTTTATTTCTTCATTACCAGAGAAAGTTCACTTCAAGCTACAGTAAAATGATCTAGTTGACTTAAGCAGTGTTTAGGGATGCATGAATAAGATAAGGCATGAGGCATTTGCGAACATATATAAAGATATAGCTTCACTGCTTCAGAAAAGTGGACAATAATTTGATTAGGGCTATCATCCAATTTTGGAATCCTTTTTATAGATGTTTCATCTTTAATGAAGCAGACATGATGCCCACAATTGAAGAGTATATGGTCTTACTTTGCTTCGATCTACCAAACCCAGACAAGATTTACTGGTCCAATAAGGTGGGCTATTGTAAAAAGCTAGTGCAAATACTTGGACTTAGTTTGCCTCAAGTCAATTAATGTGTCAAGATAAAAAGATGAAAGTAAGGCTATTCCATAGAGTTTTCTGTGAGATTTCATCCAGGGGCACATAGATGATGATCAGGGATTAGTGGCTATGGCTATAGCTTTATATGGATTGGTGATCTTTCTGAAAGTCATCAGATATCTTGATGTCACAATGGTGGATTTTGTTAATCAGTTAGTATATCAGGTCAATGCAGTACCAACCATTTTGGCAGAAACCATCCGATCTTTAAACTTTTGTCGCATAAATGGAAAAGATCGATTTAATGGATGTTTACAGTTGCTATATGTATGTATCAAGAGTCACATGAAATGTAGAGAAAGTTAATTTTACAAACCATACCTTCGTTCTAGCATCCCCATCAAGGAATTCTGTTACAGCACATAACCTCAAGCAAAATTAAAAGAAGAATAGGTTTCTTATTTTTGAGCCTTTGATAGTCCAAGGATAGTTTAGAAA